TGTACTTTGAATTGTAAAGCAATAGGTTACAAAAACACACTGGACCTGCCCCGTGCAGTTTGCATACTGAGAAAGGTGGAGTAGACGATGTAATACTCACATTGTTCATCTGGTCTATCAGCATCTTGTTCAAGTAAAGTAATTTGTTGTTGGATATTATTTGTTGACTTTTCCTCTTCTTTTAACACAATACAACCATTTTTGCTTGCAAAGAAACTCTGAAAGAACTCAACAGCTCAACAGTAACTTGATAAAATGGGTCCAAAACTTTTTTACAAATAAGATATAAGATGTAAAATCACTTTATTGGCCATATACAATTTCTTGTATTAGGAATTTGTATTTTCGCCACCCCAGCTTGCTCTCCAAATAGGACTCAGCAGATCAAATTGAGAAACTGGTTGTCAGACATTTACTGCACTTCCACTGGATCACCACAGGACTGTGTTTTGTCCCCTTTACTGTACCTATTGTACACTAAAGATTGTAAAAGCACACACACAAATAGACATCTCATTAAGTCTGCTGATGACTCAGCTTTTTAAGGGACCCAGAAAACCATCATGGACCCATTCTAAACAACTTCACTAAATGGTGTGACGAATCTTCTTTGCAGTTAAATGTTTTTAAAACAAAGCTGGTTACAGTTTGAAGGGAAAGCGGCACAGACCGTGCTTTTTGCTCTGTGACCCAATAAAGATGGCTACGCATTGTCCCTTCTGCCTAGCCCCTCGCACTGTGGAAACGGTCTATGTTCTCAGGCAAGGAAGGGAGCTTTTTTCTTTCTAATCTTTTCAAAAACATTAATTCATTAAACTTTTTAAACATATCTAGTTGTAATCGGGTCAAATCTATCCGAAAATACAAACGCAACATGTAATGCATAAATAAAATGGAAAGACAAATCTATAAATAACAAAAGCCTTGCTACGGAATTATGGGCCATTTCCGTTTCCGGCTCCTCTGTCGCTCAGACTGTGCTGAACATGGCGGCGCTTGGACGTGTTTCCCAGTCGCTCCTCCGCTCGGCAGCCGGCCCGGCTCGCCAGCTCTCCGCCGCGGCCCACGCCGAGCAACACCAGGGAGGTAAGAGTCCAGCGCAGGAGCGCGGCCGCACTGGGCAACTGGGCCCGGCCGTGAGCTTGAAGACGGCCTGGTGACCTTGGGCTGGTCAGAATCGGCTGGCGAGAGGGGTGGTTCGGAGCCGGGGGGCTGGACTGGGTCACAGGAGAGTACGGAGTGACCAGTACGCGTTGATCCGAGAGGCGCTTGGTCGCCGGGACCCCCATCTCGCTGGCCGGACTTTTGCGGTCCAGACAATAGGCGGGAGCTGTCGGCAGGAATCGGTACACCGGCCTCCCGGTCTCCTGGTGCTGCCGCGTCGGGCTGTAGTAGGAGCTCCTGGACCGTAAACAAAGCTTGTTGTCGGAGCAGCAGGAGAGAAATTGAAGTACAGTTTCCGTGCAGAATATTCAAGACGCTTGGATGTCGGGGCAGGCGCTGGTAAAACCTGGGCTGGATTAGACAGCCTGTCTGTGCCTGTACATTCTCGTCCTGTGCGAGGCTGGTCTCCCAGTGACCCACCAGTAACCCCTAGGGGAGGCCCGTATGCCTTTCCAGATCGCTAGTAGGTTATTGTTCTCGGGGTCTTGTGCAGATGTGTGTGTACACAGCCTCGATACACCCTCCCTGACCCAGACTCTCCCAGCTGACCTTCCTGACAGGGCGCTGGTCTGCGTGAGGAGGGCGATAGTGGGGACTGAAGCTGAGGGACCTCGTCAGTGAAACCCAGGAGGAAGCTGAGCAGGAAGCAGTTACTTTATACAGAGAGCTGTGGGAGTGGGGAACAAGCTGCCCGGCCATGTTGAAATCAATACCCTGCCTTCCTTTCTGATTCTGGGAGCGATGGCTAGTCAGGCCGAATGGCTCTGCTCTTGTGGTCTTATGCTTTTGCTTCTCTGTTACAGGTTGAGAAGTTGTGTGAAGTTTGCGACGTGACATTAATTGCTGGCATTGCAGAAGTGCTGACTGTATTAGGATTAAGAGAACCGTGCTGGAATTTGCTGGAGCAGTTAATCTACATACTGTGAGATATTGATGAAAAGCATTCTTGGAATTTAAGAGTTAAGATTATGCAGAGATGAGAGGAAGTCCATTAAAAACTCCCAATTAAGGGTTGTCTTCAATTGACAGTAGTTTACCAGTCATCAAGTACTCAGCTGGTATCTCTTTATACACTTCGTAATGTTCTCATTTTTTGCTCAACAGTCATATGTGTATCCGCCCTGCTGCAGAAATACAAACAAGGGCTTCAAGTTCTAACGTATTGACCAGGTTGTTATCTAAGAAGGCTTTGCATTGTAGTACTTGAGGTTAGTGATGTCAGGTTGGTCATCTTTAGGTTGTGTTGAATGTCTGCAGTGGTCAGCTGAACCTGTGTATTGCTGATGGTCAGTTTTGGCTAAAATATTTGCTTGAGCTTCACTGCTCTTGACCTGCAGTGATGGAACTAGGAGTAGAGGGCAGTGTGAGCTCTGTGGTGGAGTGTGGTTGTCCAGGGGGTGATGTGCGATGTGACAGATCCAGGAGCGAGCTGGGCTGAGTAGAAAGTGTGCAGATGAAGTGACGTTAAGTCTCTGCTCCTGCCCTGCAGGCCGGATGTGGAAGGTCCTGACGTTCGTGGTGGCTCTCCCTGGTGTGGGCGTCTGCATGCTCAACACCTACCTGAAGGCCCAGCACCACGACCAGGAGCAGCCCGAGTTCATCCCCTACACACATCTGCGCGTGCGCAGCAAGGTGAGGTCCACCTGTCCGCCGCCCTGTCCTCTGTCTCCCCAGCGCGTCTCCCTGTGTGTGGTGCCGCAGGGGAAACTGACAGCTGCTCTCTCTCCCTCTCCAGCCCTTCCCCTGGGGTGATGGGAACCACAGCCTGTTCCACAACCCCCACGTCAACCCCCTGCCCACTGGCTACGAGGAGTCGAACCACTGATAGCGCACCGCGGACCACATCTGCCCTGGGACCAGAACTCCTGACCCGGCTGGACCACCTCTCCTCTGTTTACTCTAACCTTACTCACAGCGAGCCCAGGTGCCCTTCGGCATCTGACAGCTGTGTTCTGGACACGCACGCGTGTGTGTGTGCTTTCATTAATTAAGAAATAAAGACTCCTAACGAAGACCTGTGTGATTGCTTTGGGCTGTGTTGGGGAGTGCGGGCCTATTCCAGCACCTCCGCAGGTGAGGGGGGGGATCATGTCGCTGATCGGATTGTCTCCTGGTTTCCCAAAACATCCCCGGAAATCTGCTTCTGATGGCACATCTTCGCAAGAAAGCTGGTAAATGCGCATAAATTCCTTTCACAGAGCTTGTTCAGGGTAGCGCACTACACTGGGGTCTGTGTGTGGGATAGTGGGCCATGTGTCCTCTCTGAGGTGGAGTTGCAGTGTGTCCTGTCCAGTGCTGATTAATGTGGAGCCACTGAGCTCCTCCTGTCGGGTCTCTGTTTGCCAGTGAGGGCAGATCAGTCTGTTCTCAGTCCACATCTGCCTGGTGGCCCGTTGCAGCCTTCAGCCTCCTGCCATTTTCAAAGTTAAAATAAGGCAGAACTTAGAAATAGTCCATTAAGAGGCTCCCAATTAAGAGTGGAAAAGTCTACAATGGTGTGGGCTGGTTTGAATTAATGCAAAGGTAAGGGAAGAGGCCGGGAGAGCGACAGGCTGAAATAGCTTCTCGCTGTGCGGATTGAGACTCCAACGGGCGCGGTGTGTCCCTGCTGGCTGGCCGTAGCTCATGGGTGTCCTCACATGACTGCGGGCTTGTGATCCGCATTAGTCCTCCACACTGCTCAGCTGACGCCTTCGGGAGCGGCGCGAGGGGAGAGCGAGACCTGCTGCTGCGCCCGTGCCTGGAGCCACCGGGACCGCGAGGTGACCCGAGACCAGCGCAGTCTCTCCCGCCCAGCGAACCAGGAAGAGCTCGGGGAGGTTGGCCTGCTGCGCCGCTGCACTGTATCGGTCTCGGTGTCGCACCCCTTCCTTGAATGTTAGGCGCCCTGTGAGCAGTGCTTTACCGTGCCGAGCCGTGCCGTTACCTCTAAGGTGCTTAGAGGTAAGTCTGTCTTGTTCTTTGATCGCCTCGCACGCTGCCGGTGGTTAGGATGCTCTGTTTTGGCTCCAGGAGATAATGATGCTTCCTGACGAATATAACCTACCCCTGTAGTACCCCGGAATGTACTGAACTTTCAAGGCTGGCTAAGGACCGTTGTTTAAGACCTGCAGTTCAGCGCAGTAGCCTGAGCTTCTGCCCCCTCATTGCTACCAGCTCAGCCGTACCGAGCTGTACCCGGTGAGAGTGCGGGACTGTGAGCCGAGCTGTACCCGGTGAGAGTGTGGGGCTGTGAGCCGAGCTGT